GAGGGGCAATGCGAATGATCCGTGATACTGTCGTAGTCGCCGCCGCCGCCGTAGCAGCAGCAGCAGCCGTCGCGACTTCTTTTTGCCCCGGCCCTCGCAAGTCTACACTGGACTCCACTCACCGACGGACCACACCGGTCTTGATGCTCAGCTGCCTCAATTGAGCTTTGACGTCCGCCATGTCTGCGTAGTGAGAATGGCCTTTGAGGATTGTCGAGGGCGCGCGATTCGTTTAAATTGGCGAGCGATTGGCCGGTGTGCTCGCGCTGAGGAAGCGATTGGTGGGAGTGCTCTGGACTGCAGCACTCGATTTCACTTCATTCGTAGACTCGATCGTTGTCAGGTCAATGACCAGAAAGAAATCTGAATTTGAATCGTGAATTGTGGAGAAGCGCGTGCGGGCACTCGACTCGCGACGCACCGCGGCACTGCGCGTTTCGCGGGGGCTTTGTCCGTGCGGAGATCTCTCGTACGATAGATTTTGATTACCAGGCTCGCGATTCACGCATCAAGGCACGATGCATTCATTCATTCGCTCACAGCAATTGCCAAGCTTGAATCGAGTCCAAGTACGACGACGACTATTCACATTCAAGATTCCAGTCCGCCACAGTTCAGCATCGCGCCATCGCGCTTCTCCTCCCTCCCTAGCGGACATTCAACTCGAGCTGATTTGCACCCGCTTTCAACTTTCACACTTCACATCAACATGGCAGGGCCCAATTTGGAACTGTTCAAATTCGGTTTGTACCTCTTCTTCCCTCTTGCTGTCATGGTGCACTATGGAGATCCTCAGTGGTACGCTGATCATGTCAGGCCCGTGAGTAGCTCTGACCTTGTCCGGCGCAAATTACTTGCCACCCACAAGATGTGCGGCATTGCCGGTATTGGGGAGGGGGAAGAAGTGGACTCCATTCCGAGATGCAGGTCGGCGTGATCATGCTCAGAGGTCGTCCAAACGGCGCACACCACTCACGGGGACTTGCCAGTATGGTCACACGCCTTCAATCAGTCGCGCTGCGCACGTCTCTCATTGCCCCCCACACACGCTCGACGTTTGGCTGACGTCCCTCTTCTTTCGACTCTGCTGAACAGATCCGAGACCAATTCTGGCCGAGAGCAGAGACGCTTTACGTGAGTGGTAGTCATCCACGCTCTGATTTCCCCTTCCTCCTCCTATTGCTGCTCACCACTGCCCGTGCGCTGCAGAGACCACCGAAAGAGTCGAGCGAGCTTCGAGAAGAGATCAGATTGATGAGGGAGCAACGGGGATTGCCAGCCAGGACGAGGAGGGATGGAGCTGCGCAAAGCACAGAGAGCCGGACTGCAGCGTTGCGTGGATCGCCATTGGCAGACGTCGTGTTGCGGGAAAGGAGGGGTTTTGCGAATGATGCGGGCGTGTTGCATGCGACGAGGAGATGGCCGGTGACGGGTGAGGGGAAGAGGTGGGTGTGATCAAGGGACAAGAAGAGCGCGTGCGTGCTTCTGCACAAGACGTCAACACCGCTGTACGAATAGGATGCATTGCGAGGATGAGTACAGGATTGCTAAAGGCGTCGCACGTGCATTACAAGGAGCGCAGCCGAGGAGCACACTTCTCGGATCACGCCGCTTCAAAGTGCCGCAAGCGTTCCGCATGATGCTTGAACACGCTCTCCACTTTCTGCACGTATTCCTCATCGTTCACATCCCTGGCGCCTCCTGCGTCGGAACGGCACCCGACAGATGGATCAGCCATCACGCTCAAGCGAGCGGAACTGCCCTGACGCGCGACTCACCAGCCGGGACACCGAGCGTAGCTCGGTCAGCATACGCGGGCCATCGATCATGCAGCGGAACGGGCGTGTGGTCGCCCAATAAACCTTGGACAATCTCGTTCGACTCTTCTACTGAATCAGCGCGCGTCTCTTCGTCGAGATGGTCCGCATGTCTTCCAAGAAGCGTCGCTGTGATGAGCGCCCACGACCTTGCTGCGTCTTCGTGGCAATAGCCACCGCCACCTAGCACCAGCATGGGCAGTTTCCACCCCTTGATGCGCCGAAACATCCATGCATAAGCAGAGCTGGAAAGGTTGTTGACCTTGTGCGGATCCGTCGAAAGACCATCTACCCCCGCTTGCACCACTACAGCCCGAGGCTGAGGTCGCAAAAGGCCACGTCAGCCTTGGTCACGCCCGCTCATGGAAAAAAAAACGCACCTGATACGCTTCTCGGACGCTCTCGATGCATTTCCAGACTCGTTTGAACGTATCATCGCTGGCACCTTCCCTGAGCGGCAGATTGAGGGCATGAACTGGAGCCTGACGCGGTCCCGTACTCGCTCTCAGAGCACCCGGAGCATCTCCTTCGATGTCGCTCTTTGCGTGTCTCTTGCCATCCAGCGATACGCTCGTCGAGTCTGCACGAGAAGCACCTGTTGCACCGCAAGGGAAGAAGCCGGGCGCCCAGTGGTGCACGCTCAGAGTGAGCACGCCTGCAGTATTCCAGAATGCCTCTTCCACGCCATCACCCCAGTGCAGATCCAGGTCCAGATAGAGAATACGATCAGCGCGTGCAGGCGGCCCAGTGGCGTCAATTTTCTGGCTGGGAGGATGAGCGCGCAGAGTGTTGACGTCGACGACGCTTGGCTTCGAGGGCTTCGTGAGCGTCGTGCTGGTCTTCCTTTGCGCAAGCGCTCTCTTGATCTCTTCGGGGCGCGCTCCGAACCCCAACGTGGGTGTTGGCGCCGGCGAGACCTTCGAAGCGCTCGCACCAGCAGCATCTACCGCAGCATCCTCCCTCGTCGCCAGCTTGGCGCCTTTGATGTCCACCACTCGTTTCCGCATAGCCAGGATAGCCGACACAGCGTCTGCCACATAACAGAACCCGCTCGCTCTATCTTTCCTGGCATGGTGTCTCCCACCTTCCCAATTGATGATGATTGGCGCATCACGCTTGCTAGACACGCCCGCATCGGAGCTGGAGCCGTACTTTGCGAGCCAGTCTCGGAGGAAATGACCTGCGGCCGTAGAGGCGCTGCTCAGTGCAAGAGCGTACTCGGCCAGCTCGGGAAAGGGGGGAGAGTCCTGCGGGAGAGAGCCGGTCAGTCCTCGTGGCATGTATGCCCATGTGCGACGCTGCTACTCACATCAATCAGACCGAACGTGTCTGCCGCTGCGATGCATGGATCGTCTGCAGAGTCTGCCGCTTTACGCCCATTCAACTTGCGTCTCTTAATGACACCACTTGCTGAGCCACGTTTGCCAAGACGAGGATGAGAAGCGGGCTCGCCGCTCAGCAGCGCGTCCACGTATTCGTGGGTGTGATATATTTCCAAATCGCGCCTTTTGCCCCTGGATGGGATCAGTACCTTGGCTCGTCTACGATCAACGTTGCTGTATGCTGCGTCGTCCATACAATCGGCAGCCTGTAGATCGCCAGCAAGACATCTCGCGAGGTTGGTCTCCTCATCCTCGTCCTGCGCCCCAACTATCTCCCCACCCACATCATCGGCAGACGAAGCGGATCTTTCGCGACCCAGCTCTGCAACGCTGGGCAGGTCTAGCAGGTCCAAATGATATGCTAGCGAGTGAACCAGCAACGATCTGCCGCGATTACTGGGCAGAGCATCGCTCGAATGCAACAAGGAGGGCGAGAGGATGTATTGCACGAGTGACTCGCGGCCCTCCGTCTCGGGGCGGACGTGAGTTGAAGGAGGCAAAGGCGAGGTCGATTGCGCCATGTCGGGGGCGTTCGCCGTCGCCGGTCTGTCTGCCTCTGTTCGTCTGCGAGAGATGGATGCTCAAAGACTCGTGTCGTTCGTTGGCCGAGGTGGAGCTCAGCCATGAACGGTGTGGTGCACTGCTGGTGCGAGCGGGCAGAGTCACGACTCACACTCCGCAGGCTCGCGCGATCGACCTCCACACCACGCCCGTCACGTGCTAGTCATTTCGCAGATCACCGAGCGAGGCACGCGATTCGAGCCGCCCGCCAATCGTGAATCTTTCCCTTTTCGATCCACCATCATCCATCCACCTCGATGCGCACCTCATCCACGCTCCTTCACCCTTCGAGTCACACCCGCGAGGATGTCCAACAGCACCAACAATGGCAGGATAGCGGGAGCAGGAACAAAAGGCAGACCCGTCGTCTTTATGGATGTCACGATTGGTGATCAACCAGCTGGGAGGATTAAATTCGAGCTCTTCAGCGATGTGGTGCCCAAGTGAGTGGTTCGCGCAGCCAACTTGTCGCGTGTCGTGTCGTGCGGGGCGGGGGAGAGTTGCACTCGCGTCGAGGTGCTGATCAGAGCGCATACACGGAGAGAAGGTGTGATCCATCGCAGGTGATGGCCTCGCACCCTCACATACCTTGCTGTGCCTGTATACGGCCCCGAGATGCGGATTCTATGTCTGCTGCTGGCTGTCGTTCCGAGCGTCGCGGTAGCCGCCGCGATCCGCCGCGATCCCTATGGGCAGCTGATCACCCCTCTGACGCAACCTCATCACCCACTGTTCTGCCATCGCAGGACGGCGGAAAACTTTCGACAACTATGCACAGGCGAACAGAGGATCAACCACTCGCCTCAAGGTTACAAGGGTGCCGTCTTCCACCGAGTGATCAGAGATTTCATGGTGCAAGGAGTAAGTCGCTCGTGTCAGGGGGCTCGTCTCACACAAGCTGACGCCGCACTTTTTTTTCCCGCAATGGTGACTTGCTCGCAGGGCGACTTTTTGAATGGCGATGGAACAGGATCTTATTCCATCTACGGGGACAAATTCGAGGATGAGAACTTTGCTGCGAAACACGATGCCCCTGGATTACTCAGCATGGTGAGCGGTCTGTCTGCGCCATAGCAGAGCCGCCCCGAACGTGCTGCTGGCATGGCGCATGTCGAGCGTTCCCAGCTGACATTGCACACATCGCACACACACGCAGGCCAATAGCGGGCCGAATTCGAACGGCTGCCAATTCTTCATCACTTGTCAACCAGCAGACTTTTTGGATGGCAAGCATGTCGTCTTTGGAAAAGTGGTCGAAGGCATGCTGACATTGAGAAAGATGGAGAATGTGCCCACGGGGCAAAACAATAGGCCCAGGTTGGCAGTCAGAGTGACGGAGTGTGGGGAAATGTAAAGAGTGGAGCGGGTATTGGTATTGCGGGCCGAGAGTGAATGCGCGCCGAATCATATACACTGACAAGGCTGAAAGAGTAAAGGGCTGCAAGCGCGCCGTCAAAGACAACACTCAGTATCGCAAATGTTCTCCTCCAAACGTGTCGCTGGAATAGCGGTTCTTGTTGCGTATAGCTTGGCGCCGCGATGCGGATCCCCACTCGCTGGTACTCGCACTATGATCGGAAGCGACAGACTTGGCGGCGTTCGTCTCGGCCGAGCTGTTCGTGTTTCTTGAACCGTCGGTCAATCTCGTCTTTGCGCTGATGGCATCCGAAGCGCCGCGTATGGCTTCGGCCGTCGTTGGAGCATCACCTGGCCTAGACCCACCAGCGCCGAGGGAGAGCCGGTGACCGGCTTTTCGTGCACTGTCCGCGAGTCGGCCAGGATGCGATCCCGAAGCAGGCGCTCCGCCTGAAGAGCTGGCTCTCATCGAGACGTGACCTCGCAAGGGCAATTCGCTGCTATTCCATCCACCCCATTCTCCCACGCCTGTCCTTTGTGGAACGATGGACAATGCGGATGCGCTGGCTTGAGATCCAGACCCAGAGCCGCTGCCGTTTCCAGTCCCAGAGCTAGGCGCCAAACGGCCCGAGCTGTCTTGCGACGCTTGACTGGGCTTGCTCTCTCCGGAGCTGTTGGTAAAGACGGTCGTCTTGCTTGGCTTCTCTTGCAATTGCCTTTTGCGCACCTCCTCTTTGACGCTCTGGGGCGCGTCGGCATCTGTGTTCACCGTGACTTTTCCCTTTGCTCTGCTCTTCCGAGGCGTAGCGCCGTCCCACGATGCTGATGAAACCTTGTCGCGTCTTCTCTTCGAGTCTTGCTCCGCCGCTGCTTCGGCTTTGTACCTTGCGACGGCCTTTTCGGCTGCTATGGCGCGCTTGATGAGTCTCCTTTCAAACTTTAAATCTTTCGAGCTTCGCTTGTCGTTTCGCAGAAAACCGCGATCGTCGAGCAGGCTTGCAAGAGTCTCCTCGTCCAAAGTGGCGATATCTGACCCGGCCGACGAATTGGTCATGGCGCCTTGACGTGCGTCGTAGCGAATTGCCGTCAGCCGAATGCCCACATCGCCACTCGCTCGCACACGCACACTCACTTTTGGATCTCTCCATCGCCACAGCCCACTCTGGACGTTCGTTGATCGGCATGTCTGTCAAGTTGATCGAATCACCCTCCTTTGCCTGTCGAAGAAGTTCCGAGACGCGCTCATCTCGAGACTGATCGAATCGCTGGCGCACGCTCTCGCTCGGGCTGTGGTGTGTCTCCATAACAAAGCTCTTCGACGCGCCAGTCTCGTCTATGCTCGGTGCAGGCATTGGATCAAAAGATGGCGGCGAAAAGTAGTCTGAGCTCGCAGTCGGAAAGTTGTCACTGCAAGTAGGTACCTCGTGTTCTCGCGACTCGCCAAGTCTCTGCAGATGACGTCGAGAGGCTGCGCTGTCGTCAGAGATCATGGACATTGCAGGCAATTCACGCCTCGTGGAACCTCCGAAAGTACGAATGCTCGGCAAATGCTCTCCATCATGGGCGCTTCCGGTCACCGAACCGAGTGCAGAGCGCCAAGGCATGGATGGGGGCGCTCTCGAATGCTGTGAGGGCGAGTCGACCGACCTATCAAGAAAGCTGGCGTCCTTGCTGCGCTCCGTCATGGGCTCGCTGACCTCGGTAGTAGGAGTCAGAACTTTGGCCTGCTTGAAGAAAGCCGTCGGGGGAACTGGTGACGTATCCAATGCTTTCTTGTCGGCCTCACTACCGCTCGAGCGTCGAGGCTCTGACCACTCCTCCAGCGAAGTGTCGTGCGAGCTGGCATGCTTTCCCGGTGCGGAGGACCGATCTCCTTCGATGTCGCTCTGCGCCACAGCAGGCGTCTGTACTAGGGGCAAGAACTTTCTCCGGGCGCGCGGGGAGCTATTTGCCTGTGTGCGCGACGTGCGACGCGAGTGCAGCAATGTCAGAGATACGAAAGGCGACACGGATCGCGCTGCACGCACCAACTTGTCTCCCGGGAGCGCAGTGAAGCGGTCCGAGGTCCCCAAGTCCGAGCCGGACTTTCCACAGCGGGAGAAGCCGGCCTTGCTAGGTGCGAATGGTCCTTCCAAGGCGGCAGCAAGACCTTTTTGGACGGCACTCAAAGCGCTTGCGGACGAGCGCTTCTCTGTTGCGCATTGATTCTTGCCGGGACTCGACGCTGCGGTCAATGTATCTGCACCAGATGGTGAGGCGCCAATGTCTGAACGATAAGAGGTGCTGCGTGCAACGACGGGAGGCGCATGAATGTCGCGTCGACTGGGCAGCGTCGATGCACCTACCGATCCCGCACGTTCTCGTGTTGGTGGCGTGTTGGTCAGTAGAGTGTTTGCCCTTGGGCGTGCCGCTGTTGGAGCAGCCGAGGCGCGAATCGGAGCTAGCGGTTGAGCCAAATGCGGCTTGATCCAGGGACGAATGGCTTTGGAGGCGCACAATGGCATACTAGCAACGGCAAAAGGCAAGAAGGAAATCGAAAGCAGCGGCGACAGACCCATGAACTCGATGATGCATCCGGCCAGGAGGGTGAGCGAAGCAATCATCCACCATGCGAGATTCAACCTCGCAATCTCGGTTGCTTCGCTGGCTTGTCGTGTTGGAACCGCATCGACCAGCTTGAGAAAGCTCTTTTCGCGGTTGATCTTGTCCGAAAGCGTCGCCTTTAGGGGAGGTCGTACGACGAGTGCAGAAATCGCCTCTCGAGAGCTGACCGAGGTGGTGGCGTTGGGCGACAAGCTCGAGCGTGGGCCGGACGCATCAGGTGAGCCTGCCGGCAAAGACGTGTTGGGCACACCGTCGCTACCCCGAACAAAGGCTTCGCTACCTACCAGCGCAGTACCAGAGCTGGCAAGCACTTGCCAACGGGCAGGGAGCATCGAAACGTCCAAGTGTGGATGAGATCCCGTTAGCGGAAATCGCAGCTCGTTGCGACCCATGCTGGCCGAGCGACTCGACCGTCGCGGCGGAATGCTGGGCCTGATTAAGGGAGGTGCGCCTACGGACTCTACGCTCATGTAGCTGATGTGCGAGTCTGGTCTGAACGACGAACAGATGAGCATTACCGCCAAAAGCACAAGCATGAGGAGAGGAGGCAGACTTGACGGGTCGTGCTGGCAAGATCAGCGAGGCAACGAGCGGGATAAAATGTGATGCCTCCGACTCACTACAAGAGGCCACTCCAGCGCTGAACGACGAGGCTGCACGCGCCGGGCTGCTGGCCGGCAAGCTGCGATAGCCCAGCCCAAGCTGAGAGAGCAGACATGCTGACGGCTAGCTGTACAATCCAAGCAACAACTAGCACTGTCATGGTGATCCTTGCAACCGCCAAAGATGGGGCCGTCATGGCTCTGCCCGTTTTGTCGACGAATGCGCACGAGCATCAGCAGGAGCAATCTCATCGCCCAAAGGGAAGACCACTCACCGAGAAGCAAAGCAAGCTGTAGCGCTGCAAAGGCTCTGTAATGCGCAACGAGCATCGGTGAGCGTCTCACCGCACCTTGCCAGATTCTTTTGCAACTCACCAGGCTTGCGAGCATGATGACAATCTTTGGCCAAACATCGCAGCGCAATTGAGCATCGCCGTCTGCAAAAGCGTAGAGTACCGACAAGGCCATGACAGCAAAAGCGTGACCTGCCAGCGCGAACGCTCTTCCCGCTCTAGCCCACTTGACCGTCCTCCTACTCAATCGTTCCCCGATGCCCTCCTCCTCGTTATTGGGAAGCCATAGTAGTCCACTGACGAGTTCCGTGGATGTGGAAGCGACGTCCCAGAGTAGCGCCCCAAGTGCAAAAGGAAGCGTGAACCAGAAATATCGAATGACTGAGTGTGCTACCCCTTGAGAAAGTCGGCCCGAGTCTCCAAGCACCCCGGCACCTGCTCGTGTTCCCGACGCTGCTGCCGAAGAGATGACTATCATGGTCTCTAGTGGGCCACCTTCTGCTAGTGATTCTTGACCGCTCATGGTCGAGTGATCTCGAGTCGACCTTTATAGTGTCTTTTCCTATTCTTGTCTCCCGTCTGCTTCTCGTCGCCCTGCTCATTGTGCGCGAGGATCACGAACGGTGGATATGTGTCGCTCCCACCCCAACACTCCAAGGCTTTTCAGCCAAAGACTCCCATCTATACACGCAGGCGCATGTCTCGATGACTCAATGACATCCTGTCCAGGACAAGGGGTCAAAGTGGCACTAAAAAGACGGCCCGAGCTCGAGGTTGCGTTTGCGCAGATCGACCGACCTGCTCGCTCGCGCGCGCGCGCGCGCGCCCTCATGGCGTTCCGATCGCTCGGGACGCTGCCGTGCTTGCGCTCTCTTGATCATGCAGCGAGCCAAAAGTGCACCATATTTGGTTGCGATGCCGCCTTCTCACGCCACTCTTTACGTTACTGATTGGAAAGACGGTCGATTCTGCTGACTCACGATTCGAGGAACTTCAGAAACCTTGGAGGCTCGCTGCAATGTCGCGTTCGCTTCAGGAACCATTTACCGAGTTCAAGAGGCTCGAGCGCAGAGGGCGCAGATGAGCTATTTGATCGCGCGTCTTGCCTTGGCGCTGGCTCACGCTGCGTCATTTTAGAGGCTCGAGCGTTACGCTGACATCGGCTCAGATTGTCGGCTGACGATCAGCGCTCTTGGCGGATGGATCAAGGGCAAAAGTCGCCTCATCGGGTACGTGCCGCTGCAGGTGAGGTACTCAGACCCCTCGAGCGTGTGAATTTGCCGTTGCTCACCTCTCGACGAGTCGATCTTCCGCCAAGCTTGCTATAATCTCTGTGCTCGTTCGAGACCCATTATCGATCGCTTGAAGCGTGGATGGGCGCAAAAAATCCAGACACGGGACAGGTCAATCCTTGCAAAGTGTAACCTCTTCGAATTGATGTAAGTTGCTGAAGTCCCATCGGCTTGACGGCGATCATCGTTTGTGCGCAATCAATGATCGGAATGTGTGCGATCGTGACGGCATGTATGCGGACAATTGCATTATCGTACACGGTCCCGTCGGCGGCAACACCACTCTTGACTGACACGCAACCCGGCCTGCCGTCGAGCTCTCTCTCGGGTCGAAACAGATGCCTTTTTTTGATTTCCTCGACGAGCCCTGTCAGCTCCCTACTCTAATAAGTAGCGTCACCTGAGTGGTTGTTAGCGCACGACCCACGACTGCTCCCCTGGCACGGCACCGCTCGAGATGTCTAGGCCCCCTTTCGGCTCGTGTCATGCCGATTTGCAACCATCCAACATCCGCATCCTCGTTGATTTTTGTTTCGTTCTGTCAAACCGAGGCTCCTGACGTCCCCTCACACGTGCGCCTGCGATGTGTCAGACTGCGCTTGGGCCCGTTGGATGGTGGATGTCGCACGATGCTGCTGCGCTCGGGAATCGAATCGAATCCACAAACAAAATTTCAATCGTCAATCACGAATCGTCAATCTTCGCCGTTGGCCTCATTTCAAAAGTTGCTCATGCGTCAGCTTAAAAGCGCGCCCGATCCCGATCGAGCGCAACGACACGTGACCACACCATTAGTGTTGGCTGTTTTCTCGCACGGGAAAGACGGCGAGGTGAGTCCTTCTAACTTTTGACTTTTGACTCTTCCCGACTCGTGACTCTTGACCACTCAAGGATTTCGGGGTTGATCGATGAGCGAGCTGTTTACGCACACCAGCATCAGCGTGCGCGACTTGCAACTCTCTCGCTCATTCGCCACGACCCCATCGATCACGAAGCGCATCGCGCCGCCATCTCAGCGCGCGCTACGCCTCCATTTTGCGCTGTTTCTTTCCCCCCCCCCCCCTCCCCCCGCTCTTCATACACCTCAGCATGCCCTCGACGGACCCATCCACCTCTGCGCTCACCTCTCTGCTCACACTGGTAAATGTGAGCGCCGCAAAGCCAAACAAACGCAAGCGTGCCCGAGTTTCCGAACCCGGCAGTCCCTCTCGTCGAAAATTGGGACATGCGCATCGCAGAGCATTGCACGCTGCACAGGAAGGGGATGTGAGGATGAGCAAAAAGGAATTGTTGAGCGTCAAGGTAGGAGAGGCCATGAAGGATTTGAAAAAGGTAGAGAGAGAGTCGGAAACGATCCCCCTCGAGCGATCTGCATCCATCGAACGCGCTGCGACTACCGATGCGCACAGTCAGATCCGCTTGGCCGACGATGTCGAGTCGGACGCTGAATCGGACAGCCAGGCGCCAGCTGGGACAAAGGTCGCTGCCGTGCTGGATCTCGACGGATTTGAAATACACTTTGGCTCTCATGGAGACAAGAGACATGCAGAGGTCATCAATCAGCTCTACCCGACAGCCAAGGAGGGCAGCGTGAGGGAGCTGGAGTGGCAAGATGCGCACGGCTCTGCTGATGAGAGCGTAGTAAAGGCTCTAGGAAAGGAAGTCAGCCGATCAATGGTCAAAGGGTTCGACAGTGCGATCGCTAGAGTGAGTTAATAGACAGTCTCACTGTTCTGAGCAAGTCTGCTCATTCATCCTAGAATCCCGCCACATACCCCGCAGCCCCATGCCAATGCCCACACGAGCCTGCTCAAAGCCAGGAAAGGAGCTCCCTTTTCCCCCTCTCAATCCGCACTCGCAAACGTTCTCGGCTCCCACGCGGATCTCTTGGACACGCGCGCGCTGGATCGCAAGGCTCAGAAAGATCGCAGACAGGTGCTAGCTCTGCACGCCATGAGCCATCTGATCAAGTGAGTCTTCGCTCCGCACAAAGCAGGCATGACGCGCTGACGCTCGGAGATGCGCATGTGCAGGACAAGACGCAAAATCCTTCGCAATAATGAAAGATTGGCAAAAGCTTCCTCGGAAGGTCGATCGATAGACGTGCCGCGCGATCAAGGGTACACGAGGCCCACTCTTCTCGTTCTCTCACCATTCCGTTCCAGCGCCTACGTCTGGGTTCAAGCGCTCTTCGCAGCAAGTGGTCTAGAAACGCTTTCAGGTTCTGACCGTCTCTCGTCAGACTTTGGTCCCGATCCCAGCGTCGCGCTCTCCTCCGAAGAGCTACCTGACAAGCCCAAAGACTTTGTGCAGACCTTTGCGGGCAATACCGACGATAACTTTCGGTTTGGGATCCAGCTCAAGAGAAAAGAGATGAGGCTCTGGACGGGCTGGTATGCGAGCGATGTGATCCTCGCTAGTCCGCTGGGACTCAGATTGGCATTGCAGAAAGACGGCGATGCGGACTTTTTGAGCTCGATTGAGATGCTCGTTGTGGATCAGGCAGAGGTGATGAGTATGCAGAATTGGGATCATGTACAGGTCAGTCTCGCCTTTTTGGCCCCTGCTTCCGTGCCCGCCGACTGAGGAGCAAGTCTTTTGCAAATGACAGCACGTCCTATCGCGCACCTCGCAAATACCCCAAGCGTCCCACGATACCGACTTTTCCAGAGTGCGGCAATGGTACTTGGACGATCGAGCGCTCAACCTCAGACAGACCATTTTGCTTTCGAGCTACGATATGCCGGAGCTGCGAGCGATCTACAGAGGCTTGACAAATGTGGCTGGCAAGAACAGGAGCGGACACACGTTCGAAGGAGTGCTGGGTGGCGTAAGGGAGGGACTCAGACAGGTGAGCGCTTTGTTCGGAGCGTCAATGCGCGGATCTCGGCGCGTCGCTGACCTCCACGCGCCTCGCAGACCTTCACCCGCTTCGACTGTGCGAATCTCAACATGGAGCCGGATGCGCGCTTTCAACATTTCACGAGCAGGGTGAGGACATCATTTGCCAAGGTCTCGATCCTCGCCGCTCACGCGTTCGCGTTGTCCTCCTGGCTCTTTCTTTTCTCGCGCTCGGACAGACTCTGCCCAGCTTGCTCAAATCTGCAGTGGGCGCGACAAAGACGGTCATCTTTGTACCCTCCTACTTTGACTTTGTCAGGGTCGAAGATCACATGAAGAGATCCGACTTGAGTTTCGAGGCCATCTCCGAGTGAGTCGGAATGAAGCACTTGTTCCTGGTCCAAGAGCTGTCCGGCTCACTTTGGCCTCTCTTTGCTGGAATAGATACTCGACGCCTCGCGAGGTGGCGCAATCCAGACAAGCATTCTTCACCGGCAAGAGGGCTTTCCTGATCGTCACTGAGCGCTCGCATTTCTACAAGCGCAACACCTATCGAGGAGCCCAAACACTCGTTTTTTACGCTCTACCCGAGAACGCTCTTTTCTACTCTGAAATTTTGCACTGGCCATTCGTCCCGCCCAAGCCGAGGGTGGGAAAGGATGGAAGGATGAAGGAAATTTCGAAAGAAGAATTGGAGAATGCGAAGCTGGACCCGACGGAAGTCGCCGCGCTGGCCGTCTTTTCAAAGTTTGACAGGTTCAGATTGGAGAGGATTGTGGGCGATCGACAGGCTGCTAGGATGATCACAGAGGAGAGGAGCAATTGGAAATTCGCCTAGAGCATGGCGAAGCGCGGTGCATGCAGCCTCGACAATACATGCGCATTTCACTGCGGCACCAAGGGTCGCAATGCAAATCGGGCCAAAAGTCACAAAAAGATCTTTCCGGTCATCTATATCGATTGCAGCGTGCACGCGAGCGGAGCGAAAGAATGTATGCATGCAGTTGCAGGAAGCCCGCTTAGATGGGCTCGTCTCTAGGTTCCACGAGGATTTCGTTGACAGACACGTGTTCAGGTTGACAGAGGGCGTGCACGATGCTATTCGCAACGTCCTTTGGATCCAGCACCTTTGCGCCAGTCGGCGTTCCATACTTTTCCAAAGCCTCTTTATCGCTGCTCATACCGAGCAGGTCCGTGGCCACATTGCCAGGCTGAACGCTAGTAACTTTCAACCCGCTTCCCACCGTTTCCAACCTCAAGCTCTGCAGCGTCGCTTCCACGAAGAATTTGCTTGCAGAGTAGACGCCCAAGCCGGGAAAGACTTTGCGTCCAGCATCGCTAGAGATGGCCACAATGTGACCCGCTTTGCGCGAAAGCATGGATGGGACAATGTTGCCGAGGACGTGCAGCAATCCTTTGCAATTCACATCCACCGTCTGATCCCACTGCTGCGTCTGGACATTGTGCATCATGGTGAAGTACATGACTCCAGCACAGCTGACCACAATATCCACCTCTCCCAATCGCTCCTTCGTCTCCTCGAACAGCGACTTGACCTGTTCGTTGGAGGTCACGTCCGTCTGACAGATCACAGCTTTACCACCCACGCTCTCCACGCGAGCTTTGACACCTTGCAAAGCCGAGGTGCGTCGAGCAGCTAGGCTGACCGAAGCGCCTTCGTTAGCGAGCGCGAGCGCTACAGCAGCGCCGATGCCCGACGAGGCGCCAGTCACCACCGCCACTTTGCCAGCCAATCTTCCGACGTGCTGGTAGCCAGTGGACGGGGTGCTGATTCCGCTGAGCGATGATCGAGGTGGAATCGTGCAGGCCGTCGGTCCAGTCGACGAGCGCGTAGGCGAGTGGGGCAACCAACCCCTAGCGTAAAAGTGTCTCGTATAAGTCTGCCAAAGCGCCTCGTCTATCTTGGGTTTCTCGTACCCCAAAGCCTTTTCAAAGATGCCTCGAGATTTTGAATCGTCCAAGATGGGCACCAATCGCAGCGTGTCCACTGTTGGTAGACTTCCTCGAAGGATCTCGGTGCAAAAGGGCAACTTGTTGGTGCTGTTGTTGGATCTAGCAGCCAACAGCGTCGCTCCAGCTCTCCATTTCGAGACCCACATTTCCCACTCTAGTCTCTTTTCCGTCGAGTAGCCCAGGCGTTGGAGCATATCGAAAACGCTGGCAGCGAGCGGTGGATCGCTGTTGCACAGGTGCAGGACGGGAGCCAAGGCGTCCGAGCTTTCGACATTCTCAAACTCCACATCTATCGCAGCGATGGCATCCGCAACGTAATCCACTGGCGTCATTTCCGTCCTCCACCCTTCGATGATAGGAGCAACCTTCATGCGCAGAGCCTCGACGATGATAGCATTCAGCATATCCCACTGGTTGGAAGCTCCACTCTTGGAGCAGCCCGAGAGCGTTCCAGGTCGAACGATGGTGACTGGCAAGCCCCTCGCTCGTGCCTGATGTGCCAACTGTTCAGCTACCCACTTGGTCTGACCATATCCGTCCGGAATTTCGCTGTGCACCTTTTCCAAAGCCAGCGTCGCATCTTCTCGCCACTTTTGACCGTCCGAAGAGGGCGGCAGAGCTCCGTTGGAGGAAATGTGAATGACGCTGGCGCCGCCGAGGGAAGCGAGCCTGAGAATCTCTTGCGTGCCTTGCACGTTTGGCTCGCGCAGAGCCGCGTAGGGGTAGACCAGATTGACCGTAGCAGCCGCATGTACGATTGCGTCCGTCCTTTCCGCCAATTTGTCGAAGCTGACCTGATCCATTCCAAAGAGGGGTTTGGAGATGTTTCCTGGCAGCACCTCGATCTGGTCCAAAAGGCTGTCGTGCCAAAGACCCAGATCGATCAGGTTGCTCCTGATACGCGCCAATCCGGCCGATTGCATGCCATTTTCCGGCGTGGGGAACCGGACCAGACACAGAAGCTTGGCGTTGGGCCTCTGTTCGATGAGGGAGCGAATGAGGAAAGCTCCCAAAAAGCCAGTAGCTCCAGTCAGCAAGATGCTTTGCGGTTCTGCATGATTTCTGACCCGATCGCTCTTGATCTGGCGTAGAGAGGCGAATTGCGGGCCTGTTGGGCGAACCTCGTCATCCAGCGCCGAGTCTGCCCGAAGCATCGCTGGCAGATCCGCATTGAGGGCGGACAAGTGTCCATCCCTCGCAGCTACCACGGTCTGCATGTGACCTTCGATCGAAGGATTGGCGGCGAGCGGAGCGACAGGAACTGAAAAACCAAATAGTCTTGTCAATCTGCCAGCTAGGTCGGCCAAGCTCAAGGAATGACCTCCCAAGTCGAAAAAGGTGTGTCCAGGGCCGTTGCAGGCGTCCAGCGGAAGACCCAGAGATGCGGACCAAGCCTCGGCAATGGCTTCCGAGGTGACCTTGACGGACGGCGTCTGCGCTCCGCTCGGAAGTTTGCTGCCTTCTCCAGTGCCGGGCCTGGTAGGCGTGGTGGGCGTAGCAGGTCTGGTAGGGGGCGGCTTTGGCAAAGCGCGCAGGTCAATCTTGCCAGAGACTGCATGGGTGGGTAGCACGTCCATCTCAATCCAGACGGAAGGGATCATATAGTGGGCCAAATGACCCGCTAGAGCTCTTCTAGCCTCTGGACTGTAGCCGGCAGCGTGGATGTTGAGAGCAGTGCGCTTGAGTCCATCCTGAGATGCTTCGTGCTTGGAGGAATCATCCTTGACGACGTACGCCACCAATCTCTTTTCTAGACCTTCGCCATGCCCCACAACAGCGCAGGCTCTCACCTGCATGTGGGCCACAATGGCAGCCTCTACCAATCCAGGCTGCACCGTGTAGCCTCTCGTCTTGATCATTCCCCCGATTCTTCCCGTAACTTCCAGCAGCGGCGCGCCTGCTCCGTTCTCTGGCTGCACCAGTCTAGCCGCATCTCCCGTCCTGTACATTCGTTGGAATGGCGAGTTGGGTTTGGCAAAGGGATTCTGGACGAACGCCTTGATGGTCATGTCTGGCAGGTTGAGGTATCTGGTAGCGAGCAGAGGACCGCCCACGCAGAGTTCGCCGATGCCGCCTTGCTCGACAGGTTTGCCATCCGGATCAAGGATGTATGCGTTGTCGGGATCCAGCAAAGGTCCGACTGGGCACACTCCGTTATTGCCAGACCCATCGGCAGCATTCTCTTGCACTTCGAAAGCGATTTGCATCTGCTTCATCATCTCCCCGACATCTCCAGCGCCCACTTCATGCGTCTCGCAAGCGCTGTAGACGTTGAGCAGCCGGGCATTCGGAAGGGTGGCCAGTGTTCTGCGACACAAGTCCCAAGGCACCACTTCTCCATTGAGCCAGATGCTCGTCAATGTCGGCAACTTTTCTCCTAGATCGGGATAGCGAGCCAAGACGGTAGCAAGCAGAGTGGGCGTGAAGAGCGTGTCGGTGATGCTGCGCGCGGTGAGGAAATCGACCAGAAGCTCGGGGTCGTAAGAGGCAGCATCGGGAACGGCCACGCATGTAGCCCCTCTGAACAGCGGTCTGAGCATTTCCCAGATGAAAAAGACGTTGGCTGCCACGCGATCGCCTTTTTGCAGGTTGCAGAGGCCAAACCGCAAATCATAGGAGCCGACTGCTGCTCGATGAGGATTGGCAATGCCTTTGGGTTTGCCAGTCGTGCCGGAAGAGTAGGAAACGAATGCCAATCTGTCCAGATCGTCCTCTTGGCCCACCTTGGGAGATTTGGCTGGTCTAGCTGAGCCCTTGAATGCGTCGGGGGAAAGTTGGTCGATAGCAATGACGGGGACATTGATGCCGAGCTTTGTGAGTCTGTGCTTGTGAGCGGCTTGGGTGAGGATCACCCGCGGTCTGGCATCCTCCACCACATCCCCCAGAAGCGCGTCGGGATAAGCCAATTCGAGACTGAGAAAGGCGCCTCCCGCTCGCAGAGCAGCCAACGAACCGATGACGTTGTGCGCTCCACGATCCATCAAGATGCCTACCAGCTCATCCCTTGCCACCTTGTACTGCGTTTGCAGCGTGTGTCCAAACACTCCCGTGGCTTCTTCCAGCGATGCGTAGGTCCATGTTGATGTGGCATCTTCGAGTGCTAGCAGGGAAGGTGTGGACCTTGCTTGCTCCTCAAAGAGCGTGCACAGATCCGATTGCAGGTCTAGAACCGTCATGGTGCGCAGTGGTACGCGATGGAATGGCAAGGAACCGCCGTCGCTGCGAGTGCGCGCAAGGGGGACGCTGCGTGAAGGCGCAAGTCTAGACGCGCAAGGAAGGAATGATGAAGGAGAAGAAGTGCCCCTACCCTCCTGGCTGTTGTGCGGGCGGGAGAGGTAAGACGGAATGGGGAAGCGGATGAGCGAAATCTTTATCAGCACTCGCGACTCACGACTCTTGTATGCATGCAGGGAAGCGAGGTGCGCGCGCGCGTACCCGTCACAATGTCAATCTGAATACCGGTGTCTGAAACCGAAAGCGTCCAAAATTTGAAAAGTGACGATCAGTGCGAGTGCGAGTCAAGTGTGCCTCGAGTCTTGATCGCAAGCCAGCCGTGACAGAAGGGCGAAACCGCGTAACGGTAGCCACAGTCACAGTTGTCCCGCGCGCGTGCGTCGGACAAAGATCGGCCAGCTGAGGGAAAAAGTCGCGAGTTATGCTACGCGTGCGTGGGTGTGCGTGCCCAGCAGCTGCACACTGTACCGGTAACATTAATAATAGAGCTGGAGCAGCAGCAGCAGCAGCAGCAGTTTTCGAGTCGAGTGTATTCATGATGCTATTTGTCCACGCTTCAAGAATTCGCGAATTTTGTGGCTTGCATCGATCAGTTTGGATGGCCGAAAGAACGGGGCCATGCAGCAGCAATCACAGTCACGAGTCAGGCGTGACCATCACTTGGCGGCACACCGAATTGCATACACGTTCAATCGTAGCCCCGCGCGCCCGTCATTGCCTTCGCCAGCTACTGCTGCTCTTGCCGCCATGCGTGTGATTTGTTGAATGGTACCCGTCAACTCTGCGTCGCGTACTCCACAGAATCGCAGCAGGACAATGTAGCCAGCAGCAGCAGCGAGCGGCTGATTACTGTACTCTTGACATCTCCTCATGAGGTATAGCAATCCAGAATCAAAATCGTGCACCAAACTTCGAATTGATGCCGCACCGCAGCTGCTGTCTGCGAGCCGCGAGGTGAAAAGGTTCTCACCGTCGGTCATCACGTGATTTGCCTTTCGCGAGATCCTCGCGCGCGCAAAACGCGTCAATTTACGCGAAGATCGCGTCGTACACGTTGCATGCGTTGAACGCGTGCCACGCTGCTGCCTGCCTGCCTGCCTGCCTGCACTGTATAGACTTTCACTCAAGACTCTTGACTGCGCGTGCAGAGGGACAATAGAAGATACAGAAGCGGCGCTGCGCTGTGCTGATCAGACTCTCATCAGACTGCGAGCGAGACTCACGATTCCGCGCACATCGTGTCTGTGCTCTCCGCTCTCGTGCAGCAGTGCGCATGACGACTACCCTTTGCTTGCTTGCCTGCACAAGAGGCAGCGATTTCGTTGGGCAGTGTACGAAGGCACTCACCCTGGACCCCAGGACGTGGCTCGAGCCACTCAAATTCTTCCGACTTCGCCCTCATCATCCACCTGGGCACCGGCATCATCGCCTCGCCGCTCCAAGCCTTTCGAGCGGCACACATTCACATCTTCAACTTTCTTTCTGCGACACCTCCTTCACCATCGCCGTACATTCTTTGCCCACGCAGTCCGCATCAGCCGCGAGCGATTGTTCACCGTCTTGGTTGCGCTTTCGACATGCCTTCACGACGTTCAGGCGTCGTCTCTAGAGGTGCGATGTCCGGCGGTCCGCTCACGAGCGTCTTTCTGCCCTCTTCCAAGCCCGCATCCATCAGGTCAGGGAGCAGCAAGGCGCATATGAAGGGGCGAAATGGCGCGATTGCTCCCTCGAACGCAGGAACCTTGTCAGCGGGTCCATCTAGACCCTCCACACCTTCCCCTTCTCGTCCCATCACAACACTCAGCTCTCCTCGTGCAGATCTGCTGGGCGCCCCCTCTCCATCTCCTCGCTCACGTCGATCTGGTACAGCTCGAACACAGACACGCTCTGGCAGTCCTTCTCCTTCATCCAAACAACCCTTGGTCGGATTGGGCGTGCGCACAGATCCCGATCAACCGGGCAAAATGTGGTTGTTGCTCTCGCCCTCCAAAGCTGCTCAGAAGAGAAGAGAGGAGGAAGAGAGAATGGATGAGGGTGTGGAGCTGCGCAGTCGAGCCAAGGTGGAGAAGAGCGAGGGTAGAGCGGCATCTGCATCCCCTGAACCTGTCATGGCTCGATCCAGAAAACGAAGGAGGATGGTGGATTTGCATGGCTCGGAGCCGCTCGACGATCCGCCAACGTCACCCACGATAGGAGATATGCTCATGAGGAAGAACACCGAGCTTGCTTCACCTGGCGCTCCGCAACACGACTTCCATCCAGCGTCTGCATCCTCGCCAACTCTCAAGCCTCGCATCGCGCACGCCTTGTCGCCTGGGCCAAGTCCCGGCTCGGGAGACCAGACAACAGGAAAGAAGCTCAAGCCTAGCGCAATGCTAGATGATGAGAGCTTCAATGGCGATGAGCGCGAAGCGCAGGAAGAAGAGCTTCTCACCACCAAAGATGTGCGGGAGAGGTGAGTCTTCGTATGAGGGCGGCAAAGGCTGGCAGTGTGAAGCTCATCCTGATCGTCCACACATCTGCTACAGTGCCACGGGACGCTCGCTGACAAGCTTCGCGACGCCTAATGGGCCCGCCATCTTCCGCACGCCTTCCAGCGCACCTCGTCTCTCTCTGACTTCCAATGCAGTCTCACGCGCTCGCTTGAGCACGAGCACAAGCACCAACGCTATCCAAGCATCATCGGCCAAGTCCCTCGACTTTTCATCTGGCCCATTCCCTTTTGACCTCTCGCCTGATCTGCCTCTACCTCAGCACTACGCTACACTGCTGGCGCTTCATTCGGCGCTTGAACATGCGCTCGTCGCTCATCTAGCTGTCAAAGGTCCCGGCGGATCCAGCGAGGATGCTACATTCGCACCACTCTCTCCTCAACCCAACTTCGGGCGATCCAAATTGTCTCGAGAGGCCACATCTGCGGCAGGCGACAGACGCGATGCAGAGACATCAAAGATGATCCGACTGCCTGGTCTGCTCACTTATGGCGCTCTGAGACCCGTCGTGGAGCGCGCTTCCGGTCGTGACTTTACGCCTAGACAGTTGGCTTTGCTTGCTGCAATCTGGAGCATGGATGATGACGAGGCCAGCAGCAGCAACAAGTCTGGCGATTCCTCCGAAGAAGCACAGCACAAGTCAGCAGGGATCGGCCTGCTGCTGAGTCGCACGCGCACGCTGGATGCTAGAGGACGAAAGTGTTGGGACTGGGCCGTCGGAATCGAGATGATGCTGTGCAGGACCAAGGAAAGAGCTGCTACTCCTCCGCTTTCCCTACGGACCCCTTTCGTGTCAAGCTCGGCCCCTAGCACACCTCCCCAACGATCTCGAGCTGATTTCACAGACCACAGTCCCGCCTCGACGCTCGATAACAGTCCCAAAAGACCAAGCAAAAGTCAACAGCTGAGCCCGAGCAAGGCGAGAGAGGGCATGTCCATCATTGCACTCTGGAACATGGGCTTGGAAGCGCGCAAGAAAGCGTTTAGGCAGAGACTGCTCGGCTTTGTGGCTAGGGCGCACATGCGTTGGTTGGAAGGGGTGCGAAACGAAGAGGTGAAGGGCGAGGAACTTGATGAAGGAGTGCTGCGAGCTTGGCACGACGACTTTCCCCTGCAACAAACACCGCTACCCACGCCTGCCACTCTGCCGGAACTCAAAGCGGCCATCGGAAGTTCCGTCGCGCCTGGCATGGACATGCTCCGCTCGGGCATGACGGGCGCTAGCGCGCACAGTCGAGCGGCGCCACAAAAGTCCACGCCATCCCTGATCCGCAATGGTGCTTCGTCGTTGGTGCCAGGTCCTCTGCCTTTCGACGGTGCGAGTGCTGGCGGTACGAGTGCTGCAGCGTCGGCGAAGAAAATGTCGCTAGAAGAGCGCATACGAGCCAAAGAAGAAGCGAAGAGGGGCCGCTTGCAGGACATTGCGCAGCGGAGTCGATTGTTCGATTCGCGCAGGATGGGCGGAAAGATGGATGTGCCTAGTACACCTTCGAGCAGGGGCGGCGGAAGCGTCTTTGGTAGTCCTGGGCGCTCCGAGGCGGCTGATGTGGAGGAGACCGGTGCGAGCGCAGGTGGGGTCCCTGTGGTAGAGGAGCAAGAGCTGGGCACGTCGATGAAAAGGGAAGAGGGATCCTTGCGCGCACTAGCAGCACCTTCGACATCTGCCGAATTGATGGCGCACTTTGCTAGGCGATCCACCTTGTCGCGTCTCGTTTCCATCGCCGAAGGTCTATGGTTGCTGTTCCTCGCCGGTTCCAACTCGACCTCGAGCGCAGGAGGCGGAAGTTTGACCTCGGCGACGCTATCCACAAGCAGCAGATCGGCAGCTTTGCCGATGGAACAAGTGCTGGAAAGCGTGCGCAAGAGCTGTCCCAACTCCCTGAGCAGCAGTGAAGCCAAAGAAGCGCTGCATCTCATCCAACAGATCGTACCGGGCTTTTTGAGCTGCTTGAACAGCGGACAGAGGCAGTGGGTCAGGTTGGATAGGAAAAGGGGACTGGAGGATGTGAGGAGGGCGGTAAGGCTAGAGTTGGAGAGGTGAATCCCCCGAAACATCAAAAACTTGCACGATGGCCACTCGCGACTCGCCTGCCCACTCGCCCGGGCCGGGTATTTTGATGTGAAATGGAGTAAGTACCCTGCAATTCATACCTTCTATTCAAAAGTGTCTGAGCGCTTGCTTTTGGAGTTGTGGCTGTGTGTGTGAGTCAGGGCACAATGCGACTGAAACGAGTATGAATACTTGCAGCGAGACACCCATTCCGACTTCGCTGTCACGACGAGCAAAGATCACGTTGCACGACGATCACCAGAGAGGATCAAGGACGTGCAACCACGAGCAAAGCTAAGAGTAAAGACCGTTTTCTCGGGTTTTCTGTTTGCAGCATGAAGCGACACTTTTCGATATGAGGGGGATGTGCGTATGCGTGCTACAGCATTTCGCCACACTTTGAAAAATCCTCGGCGGCCGGGGGAAGTTTGGGATTGGGGTAGGACTGCCTTGGGAGAACCGCCCTTTTTTCTTCGCTTTGCTCTCCCTGCCCCGCAGACATTGGCTGCAAGAAAGCAAGCTTAGCTAGCTCATCCTCGAGCAACACGGTTTCGACTCTCTGCCCCAACAATGTGGTCCTCCTTTCCAACCGATACCCGATGCACCTCATCGAATCTTGATCTGTTCCAAGCCTTCCAAGGAAGTGACGCTGTTACCTCTGATGACCTGTGTGGGGGTTCGTTGGGGAGAGCGTGATCAGTCACGCGCACGCTTCTGCAGCGGCTGTGCAGCCGGCCAACGTCACCTTCTCCTTCGCAGCAGCCAACAAGAGTCGCTCCACTCCAAGCCAAGCCAAGCCAAGCCAAAAGCTCACCACTGTTCCACAATTGCCCCCCTCTTTCCAAGCTCCGCTCTCCTGCCGTAACAGCTCTACAGCTTCATCGACGACCAGATTCAAAAACATGTCGTAACCTCTCAATGTGCCGTTCAATTTGCGACCTGCTTGAATGTTTACGCTTATCCTCTTGTCCAGAAACTTTTTGAGCTCCGGTTGAGAGACTTTGGACATGGTGGAGCGAGGGAGATGCGCGAGCTGGGGGGAGATGGGGATGGGGAAGCGAGGCGAGGCGAGAAAGAGATGGGGATGTGGGTCGTCAGAAATGCATTCCTTGCATCGAGATCTGCTTCGCGAGGTCGGTACGACGGAGCTGCCTTTCGCGGCTCGCACTTTCATCTCGTCGCTGCCGACCAGCGACTTGGCAATATAGCGGACGCCAAGTGGCCAGTAGCCCATCTCTTTCAAGTGGGCCCCCCCCTCCCCCCCCCGCTTTCTCGCGCTCCTTCGTCCACTTGCCTCTATCAACTCAACGCCTGCTAATCCCCAATCGACCCGCGTAGCCACGCACTGCGACCCGCGCCTCGAGAAACTGTCTCTGCTTTGTGATGCAGCACAAGCCCTTTCGAAAGCCACGTTCTCGCAGGCAACCTCGTGTCCATTCGCGTCGCTGCCACGTCCGTCCCCATCGTCACCCGCACCCGTACTCGGACCTGCGCCGGCACCCTTCGCTCGTGACTCACTGTCCGTGCGTCTGAGCGCGTCTGGTCAATGTCCCGATATGCGAGGATGTCTTTAACCCTCTTTTCCTTGATCCTTTTGAGATTGGCCAATCTTGATTCGAAGAGCGGTGTACAGGGATCGGAGAAGAGGATGCTGATGGTGAGCAGGACTCGCACCCCGAGACGCACAAACGCAGGCCGAGCGAGCGGGTCGGAGAGGATGCGGTGATCGCGAGCGTTGTCGACTCGCGTGCGAGGCGATGCGGTCAAGTCGTACGAGAAGACGCTTGCGGTGGCTCTACGCGCACGCGCACGCGCACGCCGCGCCAGCGCCTGCCTGCGTGCTTATAATTGGGTCAAGAAATTGACTTTGGGCGCTTAATCGCGCGGGCGGGGGTCTCTCATCTCTCGCTGCTGACGCGCGTGGAAAGTTTTAATCGTGACTGTGCGCGCAAGGCGGGCGAGGCGTGGCGTGGCGTGGCGTGGCGTGGCGTGGCGTATGGCCGACGATGCCATGCCAGACAGCCATGCACGCACGCACGCACGCAGAGCAGGCAGACACGTGCAGCTATAATCGCGCTGCTGCTCCCATCCTACGTCTTGACTGCTCTCACGATTTTCCTCTTTCGCTCTTACCCTCACTCCATCCAGCCTGTGCGCTCATACACCCCACTACTCGAGCCGAGATTCCACGTCCAAGGCGTGCTGTCTCACCTTGCGTTCCACTCGATCGATCCACTGACTTGGGCGCATAGCCTAATTCAAACTGGCTTGTTGTAGTCACGAGGTTGACTGTCGTCAGACATCTGCCCCCTTGTCCAACCTACGCATCCATCCATCCACCCGCTCGCTCGCTTGCACCAGCAGCTACTCACACTAAAGCCCCGCTTAGACCGAGCTGTCAAGAAAGGAAAGTCTCTTTTTTTTTTTTGTCGAATCCACTTTCGACCCTTCTCCCCACGCCAAGGAAAGGAAAACCAAGCTTCTGCCTATGCTTTTCTATCGCAATCCCCATCATTCCGAAAATACTTCTAATCGCATCTTACTATTCGATCCGCACGATTCCTAACGGGTCCTGCCGATCACTCGTCAACGCATCGCGGCGTTGTTGAACACAGAGTCCACATCTGACCTGATGCTCCCATCCTCGCGCTAAGAGCACGCCTGCCTTTCTTCCCCTTCGGTCTTTGCACTGCTTTCCCCTACGGCAGTCGCAGCATTCACACTCCTCTCCAGCAACCACACATCGCCTCGGCCCGACATGGCGGTGGTCAACATTCGACGAGATGTGGAGGATCAATTCTACCGCTACCGCATGCCCTTGTTGCAGACCAAGATCGAAGGCAGGGGTAACGGTATCAAGACTGTCGTGCCCAACATGTCCGACATTGCTCGAGCCCTAAGTCGACCACCAACGTACCCCACAAAGTTTTTCGGGTTCGAATTGGGCGCGCAAACGCAAGTGGACGACAAGAACGATCGATACATCGTGAATGGAGCGCATCAAGCCGATGCCCTCAGAAAGCTGCTCGACGATTTCATCACCAAGTTTGTCCTGTGCGGATCTTGCAAGAATCCGGAAACGGATTTGAAAATCATGAAGGATGGAATGATTATTCGGGATTGCAAGGCTTGTGGGAAGAGGAGCGATGTGGATATGAGGCACAAGTTGACCACTTTCATCACCAAGAACCCGCCTCCCAAGAAGGCCAAAGGAAGCAAGGGCGCCGGAAAAGCGGCAGGTCAAAGTGTGGAGGCTGATGGTGAAGGGGTGGCAAGCGATGAGGAGGATGACGATGAGATGGCCAAACAGATTGCCAAGGAAGCCAAAGATACGCCCATCGCAAAGACGGGAAAGGATGCGGATGAGAATGTGGAGTGGAGCGTGGATACTAGCGAAGCTGCAGTGAGGGAAAGAGCCGCACAAGCCCTCTCCGGATCCATGCAAGCTAGTCTGGTCCTCACTCCAGGAGACGACGAGGAAGAAGGAGAAGATGAGAATTCGCCATACTCCATCTTCAACCAGTGGCTGCTCGCCAACAGACCGGGCGGCGATGAAGGTCGCGATGATCTCGCTTCGGCCGAGATTTACAAAAAGGCGCAGGAGTTGGGAATCGAGAAAAAGTACAAGGCGGTGCAGGTGCTCTTGCAAGCGCTGCTCACGGAAAATGCACCGGCTGAAGTGCCAAAGTATGGAGCGGTCATTGCCAAGGTGAGGAAGCGTGTGCGCCAAGATGCTAGCGTCGCGCGCAATGTGGTGTGAATGTGATCCATCCGAGCTTACACTGCACCATCTGCACCCTTGCCCGGCGCTACCAGATGACGACGTCGGAAAAGCATCAAAAAGCAGCGCTAGGAGCGATCGAGCGTCTAGCAGGCATCACCTACCCTTCGCTCGTGCCCAACGGCGTGCCCAAAATCCTCATGGCCCTGTACCAATTGGACGTGCTGGAAGAGGAGGTGGTGCAAACGTGGGGAAAACACGTTTCGAAAAAGTATGTGGACAAGGAGACTTCTAAAAAAGTCAGAAAGGCCGCTGCGCCTTTTTTGACTTGGCTGGAGGAGGCGGACGACGATGACGAGGAGGAAGATTTGGATGATTTGTAGATGTAGAGAAAGCTGCCTTGAATACGGCTCCCTCTCATTGAACGCTCCTTGCTCCGCATGCTGTCCCTCCGGCTTTCTGCTCGACTCTGGGAGATCTTCGAGAACAAGAGATGTTTGCGCCAGAAGACTGCTCGAAGGAACAGTCAGTCTGGTGTCTACCTCCTCTGCCGCCTCCTTTCGTGCCCTTTCTCGCGATGCTCTACTCAGACTCCCCCATCTTCTCCCCCCTTTATGCTACGCTTTGCTCGATCCGATGGCTGTCTGTCGTGCTACCTGCTCTTCTCATGCCCAAACTCGTTGCATGCTCTCGACCCCACCGCTCCTGCAACTCGACGCTCGGTAATTTCACGTGCGATTTTCCGGACCCCCCCACACCTTGGACCCTTGCTTGCCCCACCGCTGCGCATGCGCGGCGCGGCGCGGTGCTTGTTCGACTTGTCATGGCGTGGCGAATCGTGAGTCGGTGTGAAGAGCGGGCAGTGCGGGGGCGGGGAAAGAGTTGCGTTCCTGAGTCCACAGGTACTCGCTCGCACACGAGGAGCATCATCCGTCTCCCATCTTTTCTCCTCGATCGAAGCGAAATGCACGCACGAACGATCACGTGACGCACGCATCTTTTCCCGACTTTTTGGCTTGGGCCGCTGTTGTGTGCGCGTGTGCATGGATGACGTGCATGCAGAGCGCAGCAGCATGACGGATACTCACCGCGCGCAGGGATGAACGTCTTTCAACCCCGCGCAAGTCGGCGAGGTTGCCCGCGGCAGGCTTGCTTTGTGTACAGGTAGATGCTTGTCATGCATGCTTGTGGCTCGATCGTCAGGTGGACAAGGAATGGGGGGACTATTCACCATTGTGGTCCACCAGAGCACCACCATCACCAGCAGACGCGAGCCACATTGTGGAACTTTTTCCTGCCCGGCCTGGCCCCCCTTTTCTCCCCCTCCTCCGTCACTTTTTGAACTCGTGACTGCAAGCACTTGCGCTCGGTGCACATTCTGATTGTTGATTCACCTGACACCGGACCTTTAGCGCAAGCCGATCTACATCCGCAAGTGCGACTGCCTAGAGCAAGAGAAACAGGAACAGGAGAGAGGGAAGAGGGCAGACGAGAAAGAGTAGACAGACATGTCCGAAGCTTCGGCCCAACCATCCTCAGCGGGCGTATCGCATCCGCATCTGCGCACCTCTTTACTGCGAGGTTCGCTGAGCGATTTCTCGACATCGGTGCAATGGTACGCTCTGACCATCTATCAAGTCTTTCTGGAGCCTTTTCTGCTGCAATTGAATCTGGTCAAAGCAGGGTTTGGAGATGCTACGTATGGAAGGGGCGGATTGGAGGATACGCCAAAGGAGAAGAGGTTGATTCATGAGAATAGGGACGTCAGGTGCGAGAGGAGGAGGGTGGCATTGAGCAAGGAACAATTGAGGATCGCCAAGAGTTGGAGCAGGTTTGAGGAATGCGCTTATCAGGTCTGGCAGTGGGATGGACAGCAGGGAGAGGAGAAGATCAGCGATGGTGAGTCACGTGCTGCGCCTTGATCGAGCGGGAAGGTGGCCAAGTTTGATGGGCCCCCCGCACTCCCCTGCACGGAACGCGCTTGTCTTTCGCTCGCCCCTCCACCCCTCTGCTGTGTACCTGATGCAGTCGGTGCCGATGTGCTCATCCTTCACGGCATCAACAATTACGGTTCGCGCGCCTGCAGCACAGGTCTGCACCTCATGCGAAAAGGTTTCCGAGTCATCGCTTTGGACCTGCCCTCTTTCGGACGAAGCACCGGTCTGCACGCCTGGCTGCCCTCTCTGCGTTTGAATGTGGAAGCCGTGAGAGCATGCTTGGACCACGTGGCCCTTTTGGATGCCCAAGCGGGTCTGGCAAGAAGAAAGGTGTTCTTGCAAGGAGAGAGCATGGGCGGATTTACGGCTCTATATTATGCTGCTACCTATCCTTCCATCGACACCTCTTCATCCTTCAGACACGTCACCAGCCAGTCGGATCTGGATGGGGATAGAAGCATCACGGAGCATGGCAAAGAGAGACCCGTCATTGCCGGTGTTGCTGCTGCCGCTCCCATGATCGCCATTTCGCCTTCTAGCAGACCCAGCAAATTGGTGGAGAATATAGCTCGGGTAATCATCTTTTTTGCGGGCAGATTGCCCTTTGCTAAAGGGGTCAAGGGCAACGTATCGGATGATCCTCGTGTAGAGACGGAATTTCTTGCAGACCCCTTTACGTACAAGGGCTACTTGAGAATATCGACCGGCATGGCTATCCTTCAAGGTTTGGCGGAACTGCAAGACCTCGCCCCGCGCATCACGTGTCCCATCACTTTTCATCACGGCGCAAAGGATAGAGCTACTTCGTGGAAGGGAACAAGCGAGTTTTGCGAGAGGTGCACGGCTAGCACGGATAAGAGCTTTAAAATTTGGGAAGGATACGAACACAGTGAGTATCGATGTTGCCCCCTCCCCCGTCTCCCCCCTTTGCAAGGACGTCGTGTTGGGCTGACCACCTGTGCGCGACCTTTTCTGTGTCGCTTGTCAGTCATGATGAAGAATGTAGAAGGCCAATCTCAGGAAGACGAAGCTAAGAGAATGGCGGTGCTCGACGCCATCACGGAGTGGTACCTCGAGCGCTGCTGAGCGACAAAGTCCCCGCTGCGAGCTAGAAGCGTCGTTTGCGCGATAAGCACTTGCGTTGGCAGTACGTGTACCCTTTCACCATGGTGCCGTCTGGGCACTGAGAAAGACTCGCTGCTACTCATCCTTCCAAGTGCAGTGCATGCTCAATCCAATAAATGTGTCGCATCATTCTTTGTCACTGAGCATCTCAGCACGACGCATCCATGTCTCGCTCGCATCAATGTCTCGCTAAATAGCGCGCGCGCCCTTTACAGCTTTTGTGCAATCTCTTCTCGGCTTTTGATGGCGCTGCGAGTGATGGACTTGATGGTTGGGTAGCCCGCGACATTCATCTGCAAGGTGGAGAGCGAGTGTGGGAGTGAAAGAGTTTGAGCCAATCTCGTAGCTCGTGATGGGAAGCAGACTTGCGAGACTTTGGGGGGCAGTGTGCTCACGAGAATGTCCAACTCTGCCAACAAGCTTCTGAGGACATGTCGAACGCCCGTCTCTCCCTCGATGGACAATCCATAGACCCACAATCTTCCGATCATGACGCAATCGGCGCCCAAAGCTAGCGCCTTGAAAACATCGGCTGCGCTGCGGATGCCGGAATCGAAGAGGATGGGGATTTTGCCCTTTACCGCTCGAACCACTTCTGGCAAAGCATCGAGAGAGGCGATCGCTCCGTCCACTTGACGTCCTGCGTGGTTGGACACCACGATGCCGTCTACGCCTAGATGGAGCGCTTTTTGAGCATCTTGACCGCTCTGGATACCTTTGAGAAGAAGAGGCTTTGAGGAGCTTCCGCTTGATGAGGTGATGGAGCGCCACATGTCTAGCACCGACGGAATCACCGACCAGTCGTGAGGTCGACCGTGCCACACCTGGAGATTTTTT